GAGCAATTAAAGTATAAAGTTACTTTTATCGAGCGGTAAATTCAACTTACCGCCCGCGTTTGTGGGCGATAAGTTGATCTTACCATCTCTTTTAGAAGCTAAATCAGCTAGAATTATTTATTATATTCACCCATCAAGAACTATACCTACTCATAGTATTACCAAAATCAGTGTGGATAATCATGGAAAATATAAAAGTTGTTGATTTTTGGAAGATTTACAAATACACAAGTTGCTAATTTTTTAGTGGAAACGTGCCTTTATACAGTGTGATTTTTTAAGTGTGCAACATATGACGATTTTTTTTAGTAATAGCACAACCCAAATACAAACATAGCCAAAAGTTGGTGCATGTCTGATAATCATATTAGGTGCACTTAGAATGGTTGCAAGTCAAACAGCATACAGGGTGCCACGCCCAAAAACGTTTATTTTCCTTAAAAAAATAATTTATTCAATTCAATGGGGAAACCCCCCCCCCCCCCTTATATACGTCCTTGCGGGAGGTAAATGACACTTTCTGCCATTATTACCTAAATAACTATTAATATCTACCAAAAGTAGCTTGAGTACCTAGCTTGTAGCTTGTTTGAGTAGCTAGCTATTTTTCACAGTAGCTCATGAATACATGGAGCACATTACCAAAAGCTACAGCTACAAACTACCTTTTTGTTCCTCTCGAAAAAATTGCTAGTAGGAAATTTCCAAAGTGGTTTACACAAGAACTCATTAGTTTAACTATTTAGAAGAAAATTGTCCACAAAAACTTTCGCTCCTTACCATCTCTCAAAATTATCAATCATTTCTCTAAATTGCGCACTCTATGCAAGCCGAGCAAGCCCCTATCAACCTTTTCGCAAACTACTTCGGATCAGTCTTCTTCTTCTTCTTCAGCCAATGCCATCCACTCCTGAATGAAAGCCTCTTTCAATTGTTTCCATGCCCCTCTGTCCTGTGCTGTTTTTACCCAGCAGTTTTTCCCCGCGGCTTTTACGATGTCATCTTGCCACCTTTTATGGGGTCTTCCAGTACTTCGCCTAGTTTCCCGGGGTCTCCATCATATGACTATTTATCCACCGGTTCGCTTCTTGTCGGGCCACGTGACCAGCCCATCACTACTTCAGTTGAGCTATGCGTTGTGTGACGTCAGTAACCTTCCTTCTTATTCGTTTTTTTTTCGTTTCTAACCCGGTCCCTCAAGCTAATGCTTAACATGCCTCTTTCCATTGCTCTCTGTGTGGTTCTGAGCGTATTAATGCTTTTGGTAGTTACTGTCATAGTTTCGAGACCGTACGTTGTTACTGGTAAAACACATGTTTCGTAGACTTTTCGTTTGAGATGTTGTGGAATATCAGGGCTGAATCCGAGTTTATCGATCCAACTAAGTCTCACCCTTCTGGCTATTTCTGCGCTTTGATTCTGTCTACTAAGTGTGATTTTATGTCGGAGATATATAGGTATAATCAGATGCATTTTCCAGTGGATGGTTATCGATAGAGATTTGATTTCGATCTTGGCTCATTATTTTCGTTTTAGACAAGTTCATAATCAGACCGACGTTTTTTGATGCGTGATGGAGTTGTTCTATCATTATCTTGATCTCTTCGGCCGTGTTGCTTATTAGGACGATGTCATCTGTGGAGCGCAGATGATTTAGACGGGTTCCATCGATGTTAATCCCCTTTTCATGCCAGGGTTAATTTTAAAAAACATCTTCGAGCGTTAGTGTGAACAGTTTTTGGGGTATTGTGTCCCCCTGTCAAACACCTCTCTTAACTGGAATTTCATCAGTGATCATGTCTTCCTCGACTTTAATCTGAAGCGTCGCGTTATTGTAGATATTTTCTATAATATTTGAATATCTGGAATCAATTCTCGCATTATCCAGTGCTTTTAGAACTGCCCAAGTTTCAACCGAATCGAAAGCTTTGTGATAGTCGGTAAACGCCAAATGTAAGGGCATATTATATTCTGTACTTTTCTGAATAATAACTACGGATGGTTTGTAGGTGGTCTGCTGTACTATAATATTTCCGAAATATCACTTGTTCGGTAGGTTGATAAAAGTCTAATTTTCCCGTTAGTATTAGTTATTACTTTGGTAAATAACTTGTATAGAGGAGTGATAGTAGACTGATTGGTCTGTAGTTGTCGATATTTTGACTGTCTCCTTTCTTATACAGTAAGATGACTTCAGCATTTTGCCATGTGTTCGGGATTTTTTCCGCGGTAAGGCATTTGTTTAGGAGTATTCCTACAGCCTCTTGAATACCCTCCCCTCCTATTTTAAGCATTTCACTAGTTACCCTGTCTTCTCCTGGACTTTTCCTATCTTTCATGTGTTTCAGTGTATTTGTTATTTCACAATCACTTATTTCAGGAATGTCTTCAGAACCAGCATTTAAAACAATTTCCCTTTGTTGTTGGGGTTTCGGTACTTCTGAACTATAAAGTTCTTTATAGAAATCTTGAATTGCGGCTGCGATTTCTTCTTTATTGCTCACAATAATTGTTCCATATTGATTTCGGATTGATTTTTTCCGCTTTTAAACGTTTTTGATCTCAATACCCACTTGTTTGTGTTTTTCCGAATTTCCTTTTGAATTGTCTTATTTAGTTCTGCATATTCCGTATTATCACGATTGGTTAGTCTTCTTGGATTAGTATACTCTCAAAATCAACCAAAATTTACTAAAGAAGCCTCCCTAAATAATATTAATATATCATCTTATACTACTTTCAAAAGTGATCTCCGATACAAGAGACTGTCTCTTGCTGCAGCATGATCCTAATGAGTTTGTACAGTGGTGCAAGATAAATGGAATGGAGCTAAATGTATCAAAATTTGAGTTAATGATCTTTTATCGCAACAATCTTTAATTATACCATTGACGGAAATTTACTTTTGATGGTTGAAACAATAACTGATATCGGGATAGTTCTTGACCCAGAACTATCCTACACTGCCCATATTACTTTCATAGCAAATAAATCGCTTAGAATGTTAGGATTCCTTAAACGAAATTCTAAGATTTAAACTCAATTCGTGCTCTGAAAATTCTTTATTGCAGTCTAGTCATGTAACACTTAGAATATGCCTCATTTATTTGGAGCCCCTCATTACGAGATACCTACATACCACAAGAATAGAGCGTATACAGAGAGGATTCCTTCGCTACATTAATTATAAATTTGTCCATAATGAGTTAATCTACAAAGCTCTGCACCAGAGAATAAATCTGCAAACTTTATCCATCAGGGACCTATCTTTATCTTTGCTTTTTGAATTAAGTAACTCTATAGTGGATTGTGCTCACCTAACAAGCATGGTCAACCTTCATGCTCCCCATTTCAACACTCAAACTTCTCATATTCCTTTTTTCCGCACAAACTATGGCAAAAACTCATTTTTCCCACGAACTATGACTATTGCTAATCAAAATACCAATCTAGAATTATTCACTACACCTTAACAATTTGAACAACAACTCTCACAGACTCTCAACCTAATTATCAGAATGTTCAACATCATTATTTATAAGACCATCTATAATTATTAAATTAATATGAAAATTAATATAATAATATAGGTATTAAATACTTTAGTATATTGGTAAGTTATGTTTACAACTTTAGTACCTGCCTAATTGTTTTCAATTAAGATTTTCTATTGTTACCTAGCTGTTAGTTATTTCGTAATAATATGTTGTTAAGTTTGAAATCAATCAATCAACCAATCAAGATCAAGACCGCATATGCAAGATCAAGACCGCATATGCAAGACCAAGACTAACCAGGTCTTGGTCTTGGCCAGCAGCCAGAGAAGTGTAAAATTTCGATTTTTGACCATTTATTAGGAAATTATTTTCAATTCATCTAATTTTTATGGACTGATAAGTTTAATTTCTCTACAGTTTTATGTAGGGATTCACAATGTGAACTTCCTACTAGAGTCCCTAATCGGAATCTGCGACATTATTGGATACATGGTCGCCTACACATGTTTCCTCAAAAACAAACCCCTTATCGAGAATATTATGAAAGATATAAGTTTGTTTTTGCAATATTGTCCTGATAGTGTTATTGATGAAACTGATTTATTGAGCACCCGGCACACAAAGTGTAAGTATGCAGAATTAAACTTGTTTGAGATAACTTTGGTTGAAATTTTGATTTTTATTTTCTAGGGATGTTAATTTACGTTTCTATTGGTTTAGGTTTTAATTTGGGCTGGCCTTTGATATCTCGTAAAAATTGTATTAGAGAAAGATGTAAGTGTGTGAACTTTTCATTTTGGTTTGAGTTTGGGCTGGCCTGAAAATTGTATTAGAGAAAAATTTAAAAACACTATATTTGTAGCAACTGACATATACCTAAGTCGTGATCCATGTGGAATGCCAACCCACAACTACTACCCCTTCGACGCAAATCACCCCATACTTTTCTTGATCGTTTATCTTCTAGAAGCAATTTATGCTTGCCACATTTGTTACGTATTTTCAACTGTAACAGCAACAATAATAGGTCAGTAGACACTTTAAGTGTGCTTTAAGCAAAACCTAAATTTTTCTACGTATCCGTATCCGCATCCGTAAACGCATCGACTTACGTTGACCGCCTAAAACTGCGTTTAAGCATGGCCATACTTTACGTAAACGAACGTATCCTGGGATGACACGTTTTCTAACCTGAAAAAGTGTTGTGTTGATTTTGTAGGTTTTCTTTTTTGCTATAAATACTGTGTTCATGTTGTTAAAGTTATTTTAGTGATAATTGACAGAAAAATCTCTAAATAATGTCAAATAATTGAGATACGTTTTCGGATACGGATACGAGGCTAGGCCCGTAACGATGCGGAACGAAACCACCGTATCTATTCTGCGCATGCGCAGATCGATGCGGATACGGATACGTTTAAAATTTAGGACCTGCTTAAAGTGTCTAGTGTCAAATACTGTTAACGTATATGAAAATTACAATTATTGTTTTTAGGATTACTGATGCACGTAACTGCTCAACTGAAACACTGCGGCTACAAATTTGAACATATCAGCTACAATCGAGAGGCTTACGCGTCGGGTAGACTTGCAAGAGAACTCAAGGAAAATGTCAAATATCACCAATGCGTCTTATTGTAAGGGTGTTCAATTAATCAATTCTTTCAGATTTTAGTATTACGCCGATTACACAAATGCTAACAAATACACGCCTGAAATGTCTTGTCACTTACTACACCTTTTTTATAAGTATTTCAGAATGTATCACTTGTATTTCAGATTCATCAATTCTAGTTCAGAATACGTCAATTGTATTCCAGTTGTTTTTTTTTATTTTCAGAAAGTGTTATTTGTATCTCAACTTTGTCAGTTGTCAGAAAACGTCATTTTTATTTCAGTTTGGTCAGTTGCATAGGCGCCGGAACCATGGGGGCAATGGGGGCTTTAGCCCCCATAATGAATTTGCTATGGGGGCGGAGCCCCCATAGTTGTTTTGGTTTTGTGTAGAGGGTTTAGTGGGTAGATACAAAAATAATGAGTTCCTAACTTTCTATTTTCATACCAAACTTGTGTGTTTTATGTTTTTGTTGTTTTTGCTATATCTATTAACAAAGAGTTCGATTATTTTGTTGTGTAGTAGGTATTTGAACCTGTATTTTTAATAAGTCATTGGTTGGATTATTATTTCCTCTCCGTTTGTTTTCATGATAGGTATGCTTACATCACATGAATATATCATGATGTAGGTACCAATATACTGGATTATTCACCTGGTGGACAATTGTTTTCGAACAGAAGAAAAGTTTCGCCTAACTTTCAAGCTCAATATTTTTGAAACCAGACCAAATATTAACCTCCGGTTTTCACGGGCCAATAGATTGAAGTTTCGTGAAAAGAATTGTGTATGGAAACCAGAGGTTAATGTTTTAGTTCCAAAAATATGGAGCATGAAAATAAGGCAAACTTTTTCTTCTGTTCGAAAGCAATTGTTCAGCAGTTTAGTTTATTATGGAAAATGTATATACGGACCAGACCAACCTACTAGACACATAGAGAGTAATAAGAGGAATTAGCTTGTACCCGGTATTATAATATAGGTAAGTAATGTTCCACTATAAATTCTTATCAAAATTTGTTAAAATGGCCGCCTCCCCGCTTGTCCGCACCATTAGAAGTCCCAAAAATACCGTAAAAAGACCCAAAAATTTCGCGCCTGCGGGAGAGCTGCAAGGATCACTTCCTACAGATTTGCCCCCACCTGAACTTCAAGACAAAATTCTGGGTACGCCAACAGTGCTGCCGAAGATGCACGAATTTTAATGATAAGTAGGGACGATCAATGATCCAACGTAGCAATCCGGCAGTGAAATGGGTATCTGCCAACTGGTCCCATTTCAGCCTAGGTGTCTAGTAGCCTAGTCCTGCCTGTATAATTATTTTTTCTTATGTTAATTTTTGGATCCCGAGCCCCCATGGTAATTTTGAAATTCCGGCGCCTATGGTCAGTTGTATTTCAGAAAAAGTCATTTGTATTTCAGTTTGGTCACTTGTATTTCAGAAAACGTCATATGTGTTTCAGATTATTTATTTGTAAATCAGAAATTGTAAATTGTATTTCAGAATTCGTCAGATGTATTTCAGATGTTATCAATGTAGTGTATTAAATGAAATTTATGATGGTTCACCTATACACCTTGCTTGTGTTATACATCTGTCAATTTCTGAAATATAATTTACGTTTTCTGAACTACAATCAACTAATCTGAAATACATTTGATGCTTTCCGATATAAAATTACCTAATCTGAAATACAATTGACACTTTTTGAAATAAAATAAACTAATCTGAAATACAATTGACTCTTTGCGAAATAAAATTGAATAATCTGAAATACAATTAAAGCTTTCCGAAATACAATTTACCAATCTAAATTGCAATTGACACTTTCTGAAATTGAACTGACGCTCTCTGAAATACATATGGAAAGGGTGTAGATATATTTCGATTATTTCATTGCGCTTTGACAAGAACACCTTCTAGCTCTTTGTAGAATGCTTTTTTCTAGACTGGAAAAGTCTTCGTTGATACCATATAAGTACACCTATAACTGCAATGGTAGCCTTTTATGTTCAGGTTGGCTTATAATAATTTGTTCATTTACCATATCCCGCAGTTGGTTACTTTGTTTTAGAATATTCTATTGATGCACTAGCTTTATAGTTATACAGGGTGTCCCATCTGAGAGTGACCCATTTTAAATGGTTATGTTATAACACTTAAACCCGGTATGCTAGCTACCTGCGGTTTGCGCCATTCGACTTCTCTTGGCCTAAAGTTTTTTTTAGGAGGTTGCAAACTTGTTTGCTTCGCATACATGGCGAGTAAAAAAAAATCTGCTCTTCAACATCAAAATTGTCCACTATTTTTAATGGAGCACCCTGTATATCACAACGTCAAAAAAAAAGAGTTAATGTTAAAGGTATCCATGTACCAAGACGCATCATCCTTGAAACTTGAAGTTTTAACTGTAAAAAATTTAAATCGAAATCCTGGTATTTTTGCAAACGCATGAAACTTATGGCGTTTCCGATTGGTAGATTCAGTGCGCACTGAGTGTATTTGCATCCTTTTATTCGTCCTGTGGAAGAAAAAAACAGAAATAGAAAAAATTGCACTAGGTATAGTTCCGCACTAGATCTACCTAACCAATTAAGACGGGGGGATATCTTGAACGATATCGATATTTTCAGTAGAATGGTGCCCTACCTAATCATTCTTCAATAGCAAGGGAATCACTAGATATGACATTTGGGAAAAGATGGATTGGGAAGAGCTGGTCCTATAGAATGGACACCTTACTCTTCTGACTTGACAGACTTAGACTTTTTTCTCTGGAATTATGTCAAGGAGGGATCCTGTTATCATTTCCAAATAGCCTGGCAGATCTTAAGTAGAATATTCGTAATGTAATTGAAGCGATTGCCGATTCCCCAGGAAATGTTACACAATTTATTCAATCCTTTACTAATCCATTAATGCGTGGGACATAATATGGCTAACATATACAGCATTTTGTATGGTTTTATGCAATTTTTAATAACTTTTTAGTAGTCCCGGAATTCCGATGTTGAAAAACGGTTTTTTTTTTTACTCGCCCTGTATAAGAGAGAAAAAAATTTGCAACCTACAAAAAAAAGAGAAATCGAATGGCGCAAACCGCTGGTAGCTAACACAACTGGTTTAAAAGTTATAAGCATTTAAAATGAGTCACTCTCGGCTGGGATATCCTGTACAATAACTAGTATCTACCTTAATATCAATGAAGCTCCACATCGGTTCGAGTCTGATACAGTTAGATTTTTTTTGTCTTCGTGATGGCGATCATACCTCAACAACTGGAGTCTTCCTCCATAATCTTGGTTGAGCCAAATAAAATCAAATCAAAATAAGCTTTATTGTTGTAAAGACATAATCTTATTAACAAAGCTGTAGGTACTTAAAGATAAATAGAAACATAATATAACACCTAAACAATCAAGCAAGCTAAAACTGAATAAAAAAATCGTAACATGTATACAGAAAAAAGGAAACACAATATATAGATTCCAAAATGGCTACTTTTATACACAATATTGCCAAGATCATTGAATTAAGATTTGATTTTCAAGTATCACAGAACAAGCAATAAAGCTACCTAAAAGGTGTCGGCATAGTACTCCCCCACCTCGTAATAGGCTCTCTCCATCAATAACCTCTTCACAGAACTTTCAAATAGTTTAATGTAGGGCAAGTTTTCATATACAGGGTGTATATTTTAAGTGATACCACTGTGGCTATATCCGAAACGGTAAGAGCTTGTAGTGACCTTTGTGTTTTTACTATTGTATTTTTACCTTTATGTTTTTACCTTTGTGTTTTTACCTTTGTGTTTTTATTATTGTTTATTTTTTTGTGTGTAGTTAGCTTTGGTTAGTTGTTAGGCAAGGTTGTGGAGATAAATAATTTCGTTTTTGTTTATTATTATTATTAAAAAGTTATTAACTGAATTGCTCCTAATTCTTCCAGAGAAGTATTTTCTCATTTGAAATATTGTGTTCAGACAACACAATAACTGGTGACCCCGTTTTGAACCATGAATGAAAACAATGAAGCAGTTTTATCAGTAAATATTAAATTACCTAGTTTTTGGGCAAATGACGCAAAGCTATGGTTTGCTCAAGTGGAATCAGTATTTACTACGAAGAGAATTACTGCAGAAAATACAAAATTTCACCATGTCATTGCTGCATTAGATCAAGATACGGTTTTGGAGGTCAGAGACATTATTTTAGATCCTCCACAAGCTAATCCCTTTTCCAAATTAAAAGAAGAATTAATCAAGCGAACTTCAATATCCTTACAGAAAAGGATTAATCAATTAATTGCTTCCGAGGAACTTGGTGATAGAACTCCTTCCCAATTACTTCGTAGGATGAAGCAATTAGTAGGTGATATTAAGTTGGACGATAGCTTTCTTATGGAAATATGGATGAAGCGGCTTCCATCCAATGTAAAGATGATCCTTTTATCTACAGCTAATACAATTTCTTTAGAAGATTTGGCAAAAAAAGCTGATGATATATACGAAATTTCTAAAACTGAACTTGTCAATGTTTCTGCTGTCAATAGTTTTTCGGAGGTTGACAAAATTAAGAGTGACATGGAAGACATCAAAAAAATGATTAAAAATTTACAATTTGGTTGTCGCAACAAAAGTAATTTTCACCATAGCGGATCTAATAGAAGTAGAGAAACCATCATTTCATCCCGAAGTAGGAGTGCCAGTCCAATTTCAAACTCTAAGTTGTGCTGGTATCATGAACGATTTGGAGACAAGGCTGACAAGTGTATTCCTCCTTGTGCGGAGGCTAAGAATGTTAGTAGGTCGCAAAATAAATTCAAAAAATCTTTAAATAACAATGTTTTAGGTTCGCAATTAGATGTCAGCAACTATTGTTTTAATAATTTTGACAAAGCCTTTCCCCAGAATTTGTTTTATTTGCAGGATTCTATTTCCGGTCATCGTTTTCTTGTGGATACTGGTGCAGAGGTAAGTCTATTAGCTTTCTCTAAAGGTATGAATCCAACAAACAAGTAT